ATAAAACCCAATTCCTTCTAAAATGTCGAATGTGTCATGACAATACGGTCATGATGTTAGACCTGAGATCTCAGGAGTGCAGCAATACGCACGAAAGCCTGAGCGGCTCTGGCCGTTTGGCACTTTGAAGTCAGCAGAAGAAATGCAGGAAACTGGTTACTTTCGCTCTTCCTTCTTGAGGAGCTTTCTGCTTCTTGAATCTGTGCAGGAATTTCACACACACACACACACACACACACACACACACACACACACACACACACACACACACACACACACACACACCTATTAGAGAACATGTCCTGCTGCCTGTAAAAAGCCCCTTTAAGTGAACATAAATCATTATTAGCAAACGTTTATTTCGTTTCTGCAATGAAAAAAAATGAGAAGGAAAGGTGTGTGTTCAGGAATGTGCGTGTGTGTGTGAGTGCATGCGTGTGTTGGACTCTAAAGACCTTGTCTGCTGATAAGGCCGCTCACTGATGGCAGAGATAGTTGAGACGCCAGCTTAAATGTGGCCTGCTGGTTTGAAGTTGCCCGGTAATGATAGTTGTCTCAAACAACAGAATCTACCATTTCTGTGTGGAGAGAGGGAGACCAGAGGGAGGGATTTTTTCTCCTTTTCTTTTCTTTTCTTTTTTTCTTTTCTTTTATTTCTACTTTTCGGAGATGTTGGCAGGAAACTTGAGCAAATGGAATCATAACAAAGCCTCTGACATGCGACCGACAATGGTCAGTGGCTAAATCCTATCCTTCACTCTCGCCCCCACCCCCCTCCTCCTCCAACCCACCCAGTTCTTTCAGCACAGTGGAAGAGTCTAATAACTGGAGGGGAATCTAATCCTTGGCACTGGATGAAAGACGAGGGTCTCCCTCCCTCCCTTCCTCTCTTTCTCACAGTCTCTTTCTCTCTTTTCATTTTTTCCATGGATTCTGGTTATGCTTGGCAGGTTCTTTCTCTCCCTCCCCATTGCTCCCTCTTTCACCTGGTCTTTCCCCCCGATCCGCTACATCCCCTTCTTTCCTCCCTGACTTCAGTTCACTTTGTACAGGTGAAGACGGCTCAGGCTAAAGTGAGAATCAGGTAGATCCAAAGCCATTTTGAAGTGTGTCACATCTGGGAAACCATTATAAACAAACAAATACTACTACCAATATTACCATGACTTCCTGAACAGCCTCTGAGCAGAGAAATAGATACAGCTCTACAGGACTGGTGAGCTAATGGCTGTTCAGAGGGCTTCCAGGACTAAATTGCATCACTGCAGTTGTAAAACAGCTTTAAATCACATTTTACAGTAGGTCATGTATTCCTAGTTTAACTTTTCACCAATGTCATTTTCACATTATGTGGTTAATTTTGCAGAAATATTTCAGAATCCTTTCATATTTGATCCCTGTTAGCAAACGTTATACGTGTCACTGTTTGTAAATAATCATGTAATAAAAGATGATGGTGATGAAGAGGGCTGTAAATCAATATTAACATGAGTTTTAGGAGCTGTTTTAAAAACGTTAGGTCATTTCTGTGCTCAGTCTGGTTATTAGCCTATCAGTCCTTGTAGATGTAAACTCTATTTTTCTGGCCATTCAAGAAGTCTACAGTAGGAAGAATGATTCTTATTTATAGCTTTTATATAGAGATACCTCAAAAAAGTGCAGATTTTATCTGTTTTCTCCAGCCTAAAATAGTTGTTACTATCATCATTAAAGATCTCTGATCACCATGTGCCATGCGGGTCTCTTATGCCTTTTTGAACACTCAAAACATGAAACAAACCCATCATTCCGTTTCTTGTCAGTGTTTGGTTTTAGACATTGCATGCCTAAAACAAGTTGTTTGTGATTTCACAAATGGGGAAATTTGAATAGATCCACCTCTCATGTGCATCGGAGCTTCTCAGCTTATAGCAGTCCGAGAGCGGGGGTTAGCTACAGCTTGTTTTCTTATTAACCAAACCCTGAAATGGCTCATTCTGGTAGGTGCTGGAATTTCTAGAATAAAATAGCTGAAATCGCATCATGTGGGAGGGATTTTGTGCAAAGATGTTTGTATCAACCAAAGAACTTTTATAGCTTAAGAAAAAAAAGTCATAATATGTCTCCTTTAAGTCAGATGTTGTCCTGCAAACTTGGATTCATTTAGGACAAATATGTTTTTTTCTATCATAGAGATGGAGGCAATAGTGTCAGTTAAGTTTGATCAAATCTTCAATATCAAACCATTAATATGTTAAATACTGTTTTTTATGATTAAAATGTATTGTTTGGTGTTTTTCCACCATACTTGGTCAGGAGGCATCTGTGAGCCATAGTGGACGCCTCAGTGAGATTGGCACTAAGAAACAGTGATTGTGAGGTGAAATAACAAAGGCCACTTATCTAATTGGTAAACAGAGCTGTTAAATGGCGGTTGGCTTAAACGCTTGCAGGACGCTGTAATTGCTGCCAGCCCTCACATGCAGATCCAGACATGCACATTCAACATCACACACCGACACGCTTTTTCTACTTCCTCCGCACAAACATAAATACGCTGATAACCTTTAGTTTGAACCCCTCTTTAAAAATTCCATTGAAAAAGTCAGTTATCCTCCATCTCCCGGCCTCCTCCTCCTCCTTCCCCCCTCCTCTTCCTTTTCTGTCTCCCTCGTCTTTCTTACACAAGCTTGTCATACCTTTGGTTGGATGATAGCCAGGCTGAGCGTGATGACACCAAGGACTGTGCCAGAAACATTAAACATGTCTTTCTGTTCCACTCGGACTGTCAAACACTGATGGGAATCATGATTTAGAGATTTGAACTTCCAAGCACATCAAACGTTAGCTTAAAACAAGAAAAAAGCAGATTATTTGACTCCTTTAAAACTCGGCAGAATCCAAACTCCAGGATTTTAACGTGTCTGTGTCTCTTCATGTGCAGCAGACAGCTTTGATGGATTCAAACAAACATGACATTTGCTCTCATATATGATACAAAATGACATAAAGTTGCTACATCATGCATCCTAAAAACCTCCAAAAAGTCAAGGTTTGTTCTGTGTTTACATTTGGAATTAATTTGATCATGAGCTCATAAAGTCTCCCTGTGATTCCCCAGACGTGTTTGTGTTGCCTTATTACAGGGAAGAGCACAGCTTGTAAAACTGTGTGTGTGTGTGTGTGTGTGTGTGTGTGTGTGTGTGCGTGTGTGCGTGCGTGCGTGCGTGCGTGCGTGCGTGTGTGTGTGTGTGTGTGTGTGTGTGTGTGTGTGTGTGTGTGTGTGTGTGACAGAGAAAGAGACTGAGTGGGAGAAAGAGCAGGAGAGATCCTGCTTGCTGCTCCCTTATTGGAGGCCTGTAAAAACTCCAAACTGCAGGAGTTGCCAGTCTGGAATTCACTAATGGCACACGTGGGCCTCAGATGAGAAGTGCAATTTTGTGTGTGTTTATGTGTGTTGGAATTGTGCTTTGTGCATCAGAGGGCACAATTAATAAAGGGACCCTTATCATAAGGAGTAAGTCAATATTTTATTTTGCGATTGTGTGTGTGTGTGTGTGTGTGTGTGTGTGTGTGTGTGTGTGTGTGTGTGTGTGTGTGTGTGTGTGTGTGCGCGTGTGTGTGTGTGTGTGTGTTTGTGTGTGTGTGTGTGTGTGTGTGTGTGTGTGTGTGTGTGTGTGTGTGTGTGTGTGTGTGTGTGTGTGTGAAGTTGTCCGCACAACCCCTACTTGGAGCATCTGAAACAGAACTTGGTGAAATGGCAAACCGAGCAGCGTCTCCATCTTGGTTTCACCTCAAAGCAGCTTGTTAACGACGGAGCGTCCATCTGTGGATGAGGGGGGGTTACCCAGAATATGAAAGGAATGGGGCCACGGGCACAAGGTTCTTTAAATCCTCTGTGTCAATAGAGTCTCTGGAGCAAAATAATGGCATCACTCTGTGTGGGAGTTAATGTGAGCTGATAGCATGAGGGCTGGGGGGGGGAGGGGGTCAGGGATTCACAAGCTTGTGCTAGGTCGACAGAGAGCTGAATGCTTCCAACCCTCTACTCCCCTTTCCACTGCTCTTTAACTCAGGAGCTGAAGGGAGTGATGGAGGGTGATGGTGAGGGATGTCAGTGGAGGAAGTGGGTTGGTTCTCTTTCAGACTCAGACAGACAGGTGACTAATTAAAGTGAAATGCTGGATTAAATAAAGACAAAACATTTTCTTCAAACCATTACACAAGACAGACTGGCCCATTTGTGAATCTGTGTATCACTTTTTGAAGCCATTCTTGACTCATTCAAGACTCTTCACACTTTTATTTTAAAATGATAAACAGCGAAGGCAGCAAACCACCTGGAACACTACAATTCTGACTTGTTTTTCACAAGATTTTATTACAGTACCTGTTTCGGGTTAATGTTGCTAATAATTAATTACATAAACTCATGTTCATTGTGTGCCTTTGAACTTTTGGGGATTAATAATGGAGACCGAAAACACAAACTATAGGATGGTTTCCATATAGACTGGGTTATAGACCAAAACAATGATGCACTGCACGACACTCACCCCGCAGAAAAATAACAAACCTAAGAGCCGTCCTCTCAGTTATTGTGCAGTCTGGCTGCACAGTTTAAAAACATACAGCAATTGTGTAAACATAATAATTGAAGCTAGCTGATCAGCTCAAGTGTGGGAGAGCTCTGCTCCTCCCCACCCTAACAATATTTGAATCAGCTGCATCACTAACAACATAAAATTAGTTGTCTAAGCATCTCCGTTCATTTTCAGATAAATTAATTTACATGCTTTGGTTCCACATTTTACTTTAGCCAAAATTCTAACTTATTAATGCTTTGGCTCGGCCCTCAGCAGGGGGGGCAATGCGGGGGTCCAAGCCAGCTGTCAGGGTGGCCCTGGCCCGCCCTGGACCCTCCCAGCTCTAGAATCAACCCCCATCTATATTACGGTGAAAGAAAGATTAGTGGGTTTTAACATGATGACTAACTTCTCCTCTTGTTTTCCTCCTCTCAGACACTGGTACCTCCATCGGCTCCTCCACATCTGGCGAACATCGCTCTCACTGGTGCAGCGTTGCTTACTGGGAGCAGCGCACCAGAATGGGTCGCCTTTATCCAGCCTACGAGCCCTCGCTCAGCATCTTCTATGACCTACCTCAGGGCACTGGCCTCTGCCTCGGCCAGCTCCACGCAAACGCCTACCACAGCCGCCGGGATGACCTGGGCGGCCACGGCACATCAGACCTTTATAGACATCGCAGCAACGGAGCTGGAGTGAGCAGCAGCAGCATACAACAGATTCGCAGAAAAATCGGTTTTGGCATTGTTCTGAGTCGAGAGCCGGATGGAGTTTGGATCTACAATCGCAGCCAGCATCCGGTGTTTGTCCACTCACCCACACTCAACCCACCCAGCGCTCCTGGGCTGAGCGTGAACAGGGTGATGCCAGGTTTCTCCCTTAAGGTGTTTGATTATGAACGTTCCAGCTGGATGAGGGAGAATGGTGTGAAGCCTGAGTCCGAGGAGGGGCCCTGGGACCCCCACAGTGTCCGGATCAGTTTTGCTAAAGGATGGGGCCCCTGCTACTCCAGACAGTTCATCACCTCCTGTCCCTGCTGGCTAGAGGTTTTGCTCAACAACCACAGATAACACACACACACACACACACACACACACACACACACACACACACACACACACACACACACACACACACACACACACACACACACACACACTCGTCTGGACTCAGTATCCCAATTTTAATCTACCTAGATTTAATATAAATTTATATATTATATAAATATATATTTTACATGTCAATACTTGAGTCATTTTTACGATGCAATTATTTATGTATAATGTTTATTATGTGTATATGGACAATTTAAAAGGAACAAGAATATGCACTTTGATTCTAAATATGCATTACTGATTTCATGTGTCTGTAAAAGTCACAAAAACTTGGTTTATGTTCTCATTATTTTTCAGTTCCATCAAAACGCGACAAACGTTGTCAATAAAGCATTTATATAAAATAAAATCTTTTGTTATGGTTTTGACTGACAATGTCTCAACAAACGTTAGATTCTATTGCATTATATTGTATTATATTATATTATACTATATTATATTATATTATATTATATTATATTATATTATATTATGGTAAGTATGTAAATAAGTACATTTTATTTATATAGCGCTCCTCACAGACAGGGAAATCACAAAGTGCTTCACATAGATCAAAACAAAACATGAAATCATGAAAAATATAAGGAGGAGCTTGACCATGTAGAGCCCTGAAAGTTATAGTCAGGATTCTAAAATGGATTCTAAAGTTAACGGGTAACCAGTGCAGAGACATCACAATAGGAGTGATGTGAGCTCTCCTGCTTGCTCCAGTTAGGAGCCTCGCTGCAGAGTTCTGGACCAACTGAAGGCGGTCAAGGGCTTGTTTGTTAAAGCATATGAAATGTGTGTTACAGTAATCGAGAAAGGAGGAGATAAAGGCATGGATAACCATTTCAAGTGCATGTTTTGACACCAACCTTTGCAGTTTGGAGATATTTCTTAAGTGATAAAAACAATTTCGGACCAGCATTTTTGGGTGGCCTTCAAGAGACATTGATCGTTGAAAAACAACACCCAAATTCCTCAAATTTGATTTGACAGCAGCAATTAAATGACCAAGCTGCTGCCTAATCAGGGAAACCATGCTCTCAGGGGCAGTGATCAGACATTCAGTCTTTTCAGTTTAACTGAAGGAAGTTATCTTCTAGCCAGCTGGTGATAGCTGATGGACACTATAGCAGTTCAGACAGTTTATAGAACTCAGAATCCTTAAACGAGCAGTACAGCTGAATGTCATCTGCATACAGCTGATAAGAGACATTATGAAAATAATCAATTATCCATCCATTTAAATAATTGTTCTCTGAACTTTACTACTTTTCAAAATACCTATTTATTTTACTTTATTGACATCCATTTAAACAGTAACAAACAGGGATAAACTGGTGTCTGAAAATGATAAATTTCAAGTACAGCTAAACTTGGTTGATAATAAAAATTAATAAATGAAATAAAAAAGTGATGAAATAGTACACAGAAGTAATTACAATAGCATTTTTGTGATTTTATTTCAAATATTTAAAAAACTGGTAGCACTTTCTTTTACAGTCCTCTAATTACTTAGTACTTATATGGTAATTACATAGTAAGTTAAAGTGTATTAGTGTTTCTGAGTTCTTAAACTGTTATTACCATGTAACTCGGGTTTGATTCTAGTTTTTATTTTTATTAATCATTCCCAGTATATACTGCTTTACACAATAACTATACTTTATTACAGTTACTCGCTTTAGTTACACAATAATACACTTTAACTTACTATGTAATTACCATGTAAGTACTTAGTAATTAAGGGACTGTAAAACGAAGCGTTACCAAAAAACATGTCGAGAGGAGCCAGTTGAGGTGGCTCGAGCATCTGGTCAGGATGCCTCTTGAACGCCTCCCTGCTGAGGTTTTCCGGGCACATCCAACCGAGAGAAGGCCTGAAGGGAGACCCAGGACACTTGGAGGGACTATGTCTCTCAATTGGCCAGGGAACGCCTTGGGATTCCCCCAGAAGAGCTGGCCCAAGTGGCTGGGGAGAGGGAAGTCTGGGCCTCTCGACTAGGCTGCTGTCCCAGCGACCCGACTCTGGATAAGTTGAAGAAAATGGGGTGGATGGATTGATGGATGAAAAACTTGTAATTATTTTTTTCTCTGCAGGATTCTCACACACAGCTCAGATATTACTCATTTTCATTGTGATAAAGATGAATGTTTCTGCGCCGTTTTCTTTTCTTTTAATTGCATCAATGTAAAAATGATCTAAATGGCAACATGGACACTGGAGTTTTTCAACAGTGGGTTCAAGTTTTTCCTTAAATGTGTCAATTATCAGTACTGTATATTTCTCTGCTCTCCCTAACAGTTTGTAACAATGGACCGGAGTCACTGAGTTATCTCCAGAAAGAGAACAGAGTAGGTTAAAATAACAGAAAACACAAAAATATTTGGTAACACTCTACAGTTAGGGTCTCTTTATTAACATTACCAATATTGTTAACTATTAAGTGTATTTTAGGTTAGGACAAAAGGCCGGGGTGGTGTCAGCTTAGTAATGCATTACATAATGGTTAAACAGTTGTTAATACTTAATTTAATAATTCATTTATTTAAAAATAGCTTATTCATGCACAATAATGCGTTAAGTAATGTTAATAAAGGGACCCTTATGGTAAGGTGTAAGTCAATATTTTATTTTGCGATTGTGTGTGTGTGTGTGTGTGTGTGTGTGTGTGTGTGTGCGTGCGTGCGTGCGTGCGTGTGTGTGTGTGTGTGTGTGTGTGTGTGTGTGTGTGTGTGTGTGTGTGTGTGTGTGTGCGTGTGTGTGTGTGTGTGTGTGTGTGTGTGTGTATTATAAATGCCAAAAGCTGCGCAGAATTTCTGGCCTGGAAGAAATTAGTAGAAAAAAAACAAAGTAATGAGTAAAGCTAATGATCCCTAAAGTAAAACTAAATAGTCGCTAAACGGTTGGAATGCTGTTCAGGTTGTTTTCTGAGGGGGGTTCAGCTGGGCTGCAAAAATCAAAGCTCCTAACTCCTTATGCTTTGCCAAATGCAACATGCAAATGAATTCAAACCAATAGCCACCCTGTTTAAGTTTGCATGCAGTTATTATTTATAAAAATAAATTTTAGTAACAAAACAGCTGCTGTTTCCTCCAGCAGGTCTCATAATCCACGGGAGAATCTCTGCAATCTAATCTGAGGCTAAAAAGTAAAATTCACACAAATCAACATTCATATTTCTTGTTTTATTATTTTTTTTTTAATATAAAAAGATGAAGCAAAATATTGGTTATCTGCTGTAATCAGTTTCAACCACTGCACATCCTGCCATCGCTCTACACGCAAAGCACATGAAGGAATGTAAACTGGTTTGCTCTGTGGGATATAGAGTGCAGCAGTCTCATAATCAAACAAAAAAAAAAAGGATTTGACTCCAGAAACAGCTATGCTGGATGGATCTAGATGTAAATTCTGTAAAAGCTTCATTTTAAAGCTGACACAAGTGCTATTCCACGCAGGCTGAAACTATAACGATCATGTTGGCATTAAAAGCACGAGTAGAAATGGAAAACCCTGCAAAGCCCAACGATGCCAGTGGTAAAAAAAATAAGTGCATAACTGAGAGATTACACAGAAAACCACAGCAAGGCGCGCTGGTCCAACCCCACTTCAGCAGGAAGGGTTTTTCTTTTGTTTTTAGCATGAAGGCATCGTGACAGCACTGCTATTTATTTAAACTCCCATTTGACTTTAAAAGGGTGAAAGAGAAGCAGCAGCTCTGACTCAGCTCAGGCAATTTTGTTTTGAACTAGAACTTCTGCAGGCAGCAATGCTGAAACCTGTAATTAACGTCAGCCTGGAAAGCAAAGGGAGTTTGATTAGAAAGTTGCAGCACTTCCGAGAAAAACAAATTAAGTATTGCAGTATTCCAGAATCCGTCCACGGTTACAATACTGTCAGGGCTTTAAATAGAGCTCATGGTTATGGGAAAAACCTTATTTAAGATATAAACTCTTATTTTGCTAACTCAGTAACGGCTTTTCTGAAAGCTCTGGGCATTCCCACACACCCCCTATGAAAGAAAAAAATTCCAATATATATTTCTGTCAAGTCTCCCCTTTGCTTTTCCAGGCAAAGAGTGGGATTTGCGGTTTGGATCCAGTGAAAGGCTTGAGAGGAGGGGCTGGGGTGGGAGAGCTGTTGGCAGGACTTGTTCAAAAACCAACCATGTTTCTTTTCCATTCCTATTTTGTTTTTTCGCCTTACATGAGAACTCCCAAGCCCGTTTTTCTGTCCTAATTGTTTTACTTTGTAGGGATTTACAGTCATGAAGGCGGTGGAACGCATCCCAGGCAGAAAGCAGTAGAAGAGGCTTTTTGTGGGGGCTGCTGGTGACCTCGGGCTGAACTGGAGAAAACCTGGTTAATTCTGCCACTGCTGCTCCAGCTCCACCTCCACACTGTGTAATTACCCCTGAACACATTATAATGTTATAATTATGAGGCATGCTTAATTAATGGAAGATATTTTCTAGGGTTTTATTCTCCCTACTTAAGGTCAGGGATTGCTTTAAATCACTTTTCAGGATGAGGGCCAAATTGAAAATGCAAACATTATTTAATGTTAGTTCCATTAATTTCTACTAAAATTTGTTAGAATCCTTGGTTGTGTTTGTATTTTTTTAATCTGCAGAATTGTTGGAGGGCTTCCAGTTCTGCATTTGGGTCAAATTCCTCCCAAAAACCATGAAATTAGGTCCAAATAGGCATATTGATAAAAATCTGAATATAAAAATAAGAAAAGTGTTGATTTATGTCAACAGCTTACTGGAGAGACAAAAGCCATCATTCTAGAAGTTCAGGTGAAGGCCACACACACAATCACTCAGAGGACCACACTTCGGACATGCCTGCCTTAAAGGATCCAACCTAGAGGATTCCTTTATCATTTTAAACATTAGCAGCATGTAGCTTGTCCTGCATAACAGATCTTAATCTGGTGGATTGTTTTAGAATTTAATCTGCAGATCTGAAGCTGTGGTTATGGTGCTTTCAAGGCACACTAAGGAAGTTTTGGCGTCTTTTAACACCCCCTACTGTCCGTTTTAATTCACAGTGGTAAAAACTAACTCTCCTCCTCGATGTGTGTTATCAGCTGAAATGTCTACTCAACCTTCATCAGCTCATCACTAAATCAACAAATCAGCTGTGTTCAAGCAGAAAAAGATTTAATAAACAGGCAGGAATCATGCTGGAAGCACACCTCAGCACTAGCATGTTAGCTAGCCATTTTACTGTTGACTAACAGATTTCCCGGTATAAAATATGACCAACCATGAAGAAAGATCCTGAGAGGAGGAATTTTGTTGCATGTTGGTAAATACAAACACAAAAGTCCGAGCCCTGGGTGATATTGGCTTGCTACTC